CCCCCCCCCCCCCCCAGGGAGCTGAAGACAGGGCCTTGTGCTTGCTAGGCAAGCATTCTACCACTGAGCTAAATCCCCAACCCCAGAGTTTTTTTAAAAAATTAAATCAAATTAAATTTTTTTGTTTGTTTTAATTACTTCTAGTCTGGAGAGATGGCTCAGCAGTTAAGAATACTGACTGCTCTTGCAGAGGACCCGGGTTCGAGTCCCAGCATCCACATGGTGACTAACAGCCTTCTGTAACTCCAGTTCCAGGGGGATCTGATGCCCTCGTCTGACCTCCTCAGGCATTGCACGATGAGGGTGCGCTTACAAACATGCAGGCAATACACTCATAAAACAAAAAATAATAAAAAATATTTAATTACTTCTGTCTTCTGTCTTCCTCTTTTTCTCCCTCCCTCCCTCCCACCCTTCCCCACACAGGGTGACAGGGTCTTGCTATGAGGTCCAGGTTGGCCTTGAAATTTCCATCCTCCTGCCTCTCTCTGCCTTCTGGGTGCTGGAGTGCCAGGATGACATGCGTGTGCCACCATGCTCCCTTTTTCATGGCCTTAAAGAATGACTTTTGAAAAGGTAAAGTTTTATAGTTTTATATAAAAGTCCAATTTTCAGTTTTCTTTCATAATTGACATATTTTCTCTTCTAAGAATTTTAAAATATTTATTTTTATTTTATGTGTATGAATGTTTTGCCTGCATGTATGTAAGTGCACCACATGTGTGCAATGCCCCACAAAGGCCAGAAGAGGGTATTGGATCCCCTGGAACTGGAGTTATGAACAATTGTTAGGTGCCATGTGGGTGCTGGGAACTGAACCTGGGTCCTCCGCAAGAGCTGTCAACGCTGTGGAGGCGTCTCTTCAGCCAACCCCCAGCCCTTTTATTTTAAACAAACAAGAAAATATTGCATTTATTGGGGGTGTGGGTGTGTACATGTTACAGACAACTACATGGAGTCTGTTCTCTTCCTCCATCATGTAGTCCAGGCTATTGAACTCAAGTGATCTATCTGGTTTGGCCACAAGTGCCTTTACTTGCTGAGCGGTCTCACCGGCCCAGTTTTGTTTTTTGTTGTGTGTGTCTGTGTGTGTGTGTGTGTGTGTGTGTGTGTGTGTGTGTGTGTGCGTGTGGTGTGCACACATGCACATGAGAGTCAGGATCTTAGCTCAGGTTGGCTTAGAACTCTCTATGTGGCTAAGCGGGGCTGGCCTTGAATTCCAGATCTTTCCAAGAGCTGGGATTGCAGGCAGGCATTCAAAGAATTCTGCATTTTCAGGCTTCGCATTTTGGTCGGTGATTCACTCCGAGTCATTTTTATACATGATGTGGAGTAAAGTCGAGGCTGCTTCTGAGAGCCATTGTCTAGTTACGGGGGTGGGAAGATTTTCCCCACAATTTGTCGGAGAAGGCACGGATCGCGGGGTTCCGGGTGGCGGATCTCGGTGTCCTCGTGCTCTGCGAGGGCAGGCGGGTGGGTGACGAAGTCTCGGGTGGAGGTGCGGCCGGGCGTTGCGGGTGATCATGAAGATCTGTCCTGGGCTTGCGCAAAGCGCAGATTAGGAAAGCGTTGAGGAGAGCCGCGGAGCAGCTTGCCCTGGAGCCCGGCGCCGGACCGGGAATGCAGCCGGCGCGGGTCGCCACGAAGCGCAAGGCGCGGGGCCAGGCAGACAGAGCTCCGGCAGGTTGCTGCGGCCTTCTTCGCACCCTGCAGCTGGAGCTGGGCTCCCTGGGTCCGCAGGGCCTCCGCAGCTTCTCAGGGGACAGCGGTGGGGAAGGAAGCCGGGAACTCCCCGGAGCACGGAGTTGCAATGGCTGTACCCTGAGAAAAAGCAGGCAACGAAGAGTAAGAGTTCATCCCAGCTCTTCTGTCCATCCATTGACCAGGTCCACAAGCGAGACCCCTTCGAAGCTGATTCCAACCACCCAGAGCCGGTAGGGATGCCCAGGAAGCTTTCCCTAACATGCTTAGCTCTGTTAAGGATCAAATATTTTCTGCTGCAGCTCAGGAGTGAGTTCTCGCTTTCACAGGACTTAGGTTTGACTGAAGGTGGGAACCTTTGCTGAGGACACCGTGTGTGTGTGTGTGTGTGTGTGTGTGTGTGTGTGTGTGTGTGTGTGTTGGTGTCCAGACATCATTGGATTTATTCTCATGGAGACTCCAGTAGAGCTGGATGTTCATGTCCTGCCTTGATATAGAAACTGGGGCTCAGAGAGGCTGAGTAACTTACTCATGATTGCACAGCTAGTAAATGTCAGAGCCAGGATGTGACTCCAGGGCTGGTAAGCAATCACTAATCCTGTTGTCATACTATGTGCAAAGGACTCTTTTGCAAGCTATGGGGAAAAGCAGAGGGTAATGGGCCCCCGTGTCTAACACAGGCCTGAATAATGATGGTGGAGTAGAGAGAACTGTGAACATGAGGTCATGAGAATGGACCCTTGGGACTTCAGGGGGGCCTGAGTGGCATTTGTGAGATTGAAGGGCAAAGGCCTGGACCCTGCAGATAGCTGGACTGGAGAAGTGGATCCAGCAGGGTGGGATCAATAACAACAGGAAACCCAATGATAACTGTACCCAGCCCAGACACACTTCAAAAACATTAACCTTGGGGGGCTGGAGGGATGGCTCAGTGGTTAAGAACACTTGCTGTTCTTCCAGAGGAGGACCTAGGTTTGATTCCCAGCACCCACATGTCAGCTCACAACCATCTGTAACTCCAGTTCTAGTGAATCTGGAACCCTCTTCTGGCCTCTGTGGATTTTGCATGGCACAGGTACACATACATACATGCAGGCAAAACATACACATAACATAAAAATAACAGATAAAATATAAAAATTAACCTTGGGCTGGGTGTGGTGGCATACACCTTTAATCCTAGCACTTGGGAGGCAGAGGCAGGCAGATCTCTGTGAGATCAAGGTCAGCTTGATCTACATAGTGAGTTCTAGAACAGCTGGGGTTACAGGGAGATCCTGTCCCAAAATACCAACCAACCAACCAACAAACAACAACAACCTCCCCAAACCAAAAAAAAACAATAAAAAATCCACATTTACCCATTTAATCCATCCTATACCCTCAGGCAGTAGATACTGTTATTATTGTTAATTTATTGAGGTTCAGAAACAGAGGCCCAGAGCCATAAGCTAGTAAACTATGGAGCCAGGAGTATACCCAAGCTTTCAAGGGGAGCATGGAGTCAGACCAAAATGTTATAGTTTCCTGGGCAGCCTAGTGGAGGGTAGACTGAAAAGGTAGGTGGGATCTGGCTGAGAGTCAGTGCATGCCAGGCAGAGGGCTTGCCTATGTCCGGTGGCCTCTCTAAGCTCTGGGAGTTTTATGGATAAGCAAGGGAGGTCATCAGCCCTGTGTTGTTTGGCCGGTGATTCTGGAGGGTGGGGAGGAAGAGATGCAGAAGAGGTGGGAGTGTCCTTGGGAGATGGGATTGGAGGTCCCTGTCTGTCCCCAGGGAAGAGCTGATGCTGGGACTGACTCAGGCAGAGAAGACTCCCACAGCACAGGCTCCACCCTTGAATGCAGCAGGTGCTCAGTGAGCTGTGACCTGTGAGACTGCCTTGGTGTGTGATGACCCTTGCAAATGGTAGGAGCTCCTATTTCTGAGACCCTTGTGGGCTGGGCTGACTGAAGACAGCTCAGGGTCAAGGAAGGGCTGTGCCCTGTCAGGAACTGGCTTGGCTAGAAGGAAGTGGCCATTCACCAAGTCTGTGTGGAGGAAGAGAAGAGTCGTTAGAGGGATGGGCATGAGCAAGGGCCTTCACTGGGGTTTCCCTGTGTGTGTTAGTCACTCTTTGCATTGCTGGGACAAAATAGCTGATATTTAAGCAAGTCAAGGTGGGAAAGATTTATTTTGGCTCATAACTTCAGAGTTTTCATTCCATAGTTCTTAGCCCACTTGGGACTGTGGCAGGGCAAAACTTCATAGTGGTGAGAGCTTCTGGCAGAGGCTGTTCATCTCATGGATGACAGTAAGGAGAGAGAGAGAGAGAGAGAGAGAGAGAGAGAGAGAGAGAGAGAACACAGGCATAACCTACAAAAGCATGAGTTCTTTAGCTAGGCCCCCACCCACCTCCTAAAATAGCGCCACTAGTTGGGGACCAAGTGCTCAACCCATGAGCCTGTGGGGCTGGAACCGTAAGCCCAACAAGCTCTTCTTTCTATAAGTTGCCTTGCTCATAGTGTTTCAGCACATCAACAGAAAAGTAACTAATATAGTATCACTTCCATAACCTACAAAAGCATGAGTTCTTTAGCTAGGCCCCCACCCACCTCCTAAAATAGCGCCACTAGTTGGGGACCAAGTGCTCAACCCATGAGCCTGTGGGGCTGGAACCGTAAGCCCAACAAGCTCTTCTTTCTATAAGTTGCCTTGCTCATAGTGTTTCAGCACATCAACAGAAAAGTAACTAATATAGTATCACTTCTCAGCACTTGACAGAAGCAGGGAGATCAAGAGTTCAAGGTCATCTTCCACTACATTGTGAGTTCAAGGCTCTGATACATCCTTTGTCAGTTTGAGGCCAGCCAGTGCTACAAACAGCAGCAGCAAGAGCAAAATGGTGAAGATTTGCAAATAGAATAAAAAAAAAGCTGTCTCAGTTTTGGCAAATATGTTAGTTATATTTTGGTTGCTGTGATAAACACTGTGACCAAAGGTAATTACAGAAGAGTTTCTTTGGGCTTGTAGGGTTAAGAGTCCATCATGATGGGAATGGTGGGGTGGGAGGATGGAGGGGAGGCTTGGCAGCAGGTGGCTGGAACTGGAAGCTGAGAGCTCATAGCTTCAACCACAAACGTGAAGCAGCAGAAAGCAGAGAGTGAATCAGAAGTGAGAGGAGGCTACAACCCTCAGAGCCTGCCCCTAGTGACATACTTCCTCTAGCAAGGCCACACCTCCTAAACTTCTGCATCACCAGATGGGTACAAAGTGTTCAAGTATTTGAGCCTATGGAGGACGTTTCTCATGCAAACCAGCATAGCAAGTAACAGGACCAACAATCCACTGGTGGTAGTAAGTAAAATAATGAATTGTAGCACTTTAGCAACAGAAAAAGCTGAAGCATTCACCAACTGGAAAAGAAATACATTTTTATTAGTTCATACAATGAAAAATTACATAGCGGAGAAGATAAATTTATTAAATTAAATAAATGGGTTTATTATTACTTTGTGTGTGTGTACATGATACGCATACGTGAGCATGGATGTGCACGTACCACTGTGAGCATGTGGAGTTTGGAGGACAACTTTTGGGAGTTGGTTCTCTCCTTTCACTATGGGTTCACAGCGATCACACTCAGGTTGTTAGGTTTGTATGGCAAGTGCCTTTACCCACTGAGCCATCTCTCCTGTCCCAGTACATATTTAAATTAGAAGATTATTACCAAAATATTCAAAGCATGATTTTTTTTTTTTCCTTCAAGGGGTCAAGTTTGGACTTTACAGACTTGCTGGCCTCACCACCCTGGGATGCTGCTCCCTGACCCCACTGGCTCTCAGGGACGTCAAGCCAAATGAAAAAGTCTACACAGTGCTTTCTGGGTATTGTTCCAGTGCCCATATACAAATGGGGCTTGGTCCCCTGGGGAACAGCTGGCTCCTGTGGGAGTGTCTGCCTTGCCAACAGGTGCCCAGTCTTCTGCTTAGCCCCCTGAGGACAGCAGGCTCACTCCCTTTTCTACAGGAGAGGTGACTAGAAGAGGACATTACACCCGGGGTCGAGCAAGCAAAATGCTCCAGGTCACACCAAAGAATGCTGTCTCCTTTCTAGAACTGGAGGGCCCTGTGCCAGGCTTGGGATGTGTCTGTGGTAAGGCCTCTGTCCCTGACTTCCGGGTCCCTCAGTGTGCCCACAGTTGCAGTCTCCTCTTGCATTATTCTCCACCAAGTTCACTGCCCCTCCCTTTGGGATGACTAGTCCCCATTGCCTTATACAACAGAGGCGCGGCCATTTAACTTGCTCTGAACAACGAGATGCTGAGGAGAATGAATGGGTGTTACTGGGAGGGAGTCTTAAATCCATCATCTTATTTAATAGTTCTTTCCACTTTGCCTCCCAATAGTCAGCAGTGCCTCAAGAAACAGGCTACATTCTCCAACTGAGTCCCAGAGTGAAGACAAAACTGAGCAGAGAAGCAGTCAGCTTGTGATGGACATCTAGGATGAATGAGAAGTATGCCCAATAAACTCTTCCTTCTATAAGTTGCCTTGGTCATGGTGTTTTATCACAGTGACAGAAAAGTAGCTAGCATAAGCCCTTGTGCTTTTTTCTCATCCTACTTTTCATAAAGTACTAGACAGTGATACAGTTAGGATCGCTGCTCATTACTGAGCATTTGTTACATGCCAGGCTAAAGTGGGGGATTACCACACTTCATTTTCTCAACAGCCCTGCAAGTGCATAAGTCTTAAGCACAGAGCTTGGTTAATTTTTTACCTATGTGTGCAGCCATGTAGCCCCTGTTTAAGGTGTGGGACATTTCTCCCAGGCTTCCTCTTTTCCAGTCCTAGTTATTACCATCTTCTATCCCAGGGTAATCACCCTTCTGACTGCGAACACAAAGATGAGCCTTCTCACTTTAAAATGAATAAACAGAACTGGGGGATGGCTCAGTTGGTAAAACGCTTGCTGTGTAAGCGTGAGGACCCAAGCCTGGATCTCCAGAACCCTTGCAAAAAGCTGAGTGACCGATTGCATCTGTAATCTCAGCTCTAGGGAGACAGGGATGCTGGTTTAGCTGGAGAGCTCCAGGTTTAGTCAGAGACCCTTCCTCAAAAGATAAGGTGGAGAATTCATCAAGGAAGACAGCAGGTGCTGGCTGCCTCTAGCCTCCATATGTGCATCCATACACATGCATGCACACCAACACATATGTGTACACACATGAACATGTACACCTACGTACACATACAGATTAAATAAAATGAATAAATATAGCTGGATGTGGTAATGTAGGGCCTTCACCTGAGCTGTGGGGAAACTGAGTTTGGAAGATTGGTACAAGTTCAAGACAGACCAGCCTGATCTATGTAAGGAGTTCCATGATAGCCATGAGGACATAGGAAGACCCTTCTCATATATA